TTATGTTATAATTATGCGTATTACTTTTAATTTATATGAATACTGAAGAAGGTCTCATTGAAGACCGAAACGTCTATTAATTGTACTTTATTAAATATAATAATTTTAAGCCAACGATAACAGGCGTTCGTGGTCATATGCCTTTATAATTATATTGTCTTACATTCGTACCACGTATCTATCCTAGATTGTTTATTAAGGGTATAATTTACGTCACTATGCCTCTCAATAATTATGTAGGGTCCAATCCATTTTGAGTTCAATTTTCTGGATCTGCCCCTCCTAACGGTTTCATTATATAACAACACCTCATCGCCTACAGTGAAAGTTTCTTTCTTCACTGTCTTATCGTAGTGTCGTTTAGCTTTGATTTTTTCCTCTTGCGCGTGTTCCCGGGCTATTTGATTAGTGTCGCGTATTCTTTCGCGTAGTTCTTGCGCGTAATCCTCGTAAGAGTACGTTTGCTTCGGGGGTTTCGTTAGCGCAGTCGGTAGGGTGGCTTGATGCCCGAACATTAATTCAAAGGGTGTCAAACCGGTCGCAGTATGCGGTGTCGTGTTGTACGCGAACATTGCGTACGGCAGCCACTCGTCCCAATCCGTCTGCTCCTCATTTATATAGTGTCGTAAATATTCGGCTAACGTTCTATGTGAGCGTTCTAACGCTCCATTGCTTTCTGGGTGATACGCGGTCGTTTGAATTTTTTCGATTTTCAATAGCTTGCAAGTATTCTTAAACATCTCGCTAGTAAAATTAGTACCCTGATTAGTAAGGATTTTGTCTGGCATTCCGTGCTCCATTACTATTTTGGTCACGAATGCTTTCGCGACGGTGCCCGCTTCCTGGTTATTTATTGGAATCGCCTTACTAAACTTTGTTAAATTATCTTGAAATGTCAAGATGTATTTATTCCCTGTGGTAGTAATTGTTAATGGTCCTACTATATCGAGGGCACATTTCTCAAACGGTTTTTTCGGGGTGTCGGCAATTTCCAACGGCATTTTCGTTTTCCGACTTAACTTATTTTTTTTGGCAATATTCGCATTTGTTTATGTACTCCTCGACATCTCTTGTGATGCCTTTCCAATTATGCAACATTCGGATACGATTTAAAGTGCGTGTCACCCCCTGATGTCCTCCTGTTGGTGCGTCATGATACTCATAGAGAATCTGGCGCTTATCTTCCTCCGTATATTCCTCTATGGTATCTTTTTTTTTCTTCTCGGTTTCCTTCTCCTTCGGCTGAACGTTATTCACGCGTTCATTGCTCCGGATCGGATTTCGACTTAAAGCGTCGGCGTTGGTATTACCTTTGCCGGCCTTGTGTACGATCTTATAGTCGTACTCCTCTAATTTTAACCTCCAGCGCATTAATCTTGAGCCTGGATCGTTCACATTAAATAGCCAAACTAGCGGTCTATGATCGGTGACGATAGTAAATGTCGTCCCGTATAAGTAAGGTCAAAAATATTTAACGGCCCAAACTATCGCTAACAATTCCTTCTCTGTCGTATTATAATTTTGTTCGGCTTTGTTTAGAATACGGCTCGCGTAAGCAACCGGACGATCCTGTCCTACGAGGCCTTGCGATAATACGGCTCCGATTGCAAAGTCCGACGCGTCGGTGGTTATTACGAATTCTCGAGTGAAATCTGGGTAACTTAAGATAGGAGCTGTCGTGAGCTTCACTTTTAATATGTCAAATGCATTTTGTTGCTCCATTTTCCAATCAAATTTTACTCCTTTCTTGGTCAGGCTCGTTAGAGGCTTTGCAATTTTTGAGAAATTCTCTATGAATTTTCGGTAATATCCGGCTAATCCTATAAGGATTGTACGTCTTTAACTTTTTTCGGCACAGGAAATTCTTTCACTGCACTTAATTTATTGGGATCTGGTCGTATTCCGTCTTCAGTTATAATATGTCCCAGATATATTACCTCTTTCCGCAAGAACTCGCACTTGTCGGGTTGTAGCTTCAAATTATATTTTCGTAAACGTTGCATTACCTCGACAAAGCGTTTGTTATGTTCTTGTAGATTTGATCCATAAATAACTATATCATCCAAATATAC